TGATGCCTCATAGAAACCAGAACTGGGTCTGGAGACTCTGTGTGGCTCTTTATGCTTCTTTGTTAACTCAGTGTACAAAAGTCAGTGTCTGTACTTTCTCCAGTCCCTAGAGACTTGCTAATTCTTTTCCACTTCTCTAAATCTTTTCTTCTGCTTATTCATTATTACTTGGCTTGCCACAATCTCTGTTGCTGAGTTTCCTCTTATTTCCTCATTGCCCCAACTCTGATTCATCACTGTACTTAAGCGTTCTGTTAGTTTTAGCTCCTGTTGCTAACTGCTCCTTTTCTTGGAGTTTACATTCTAAGAATTGCTGTTGCTCATCTTTTTTGTACCATTCACATATGCCTTTGGGTGAGGTGCCTACCTTTGGTTTATTCATATCTCATGTGAATAATATGAAAACTCTGAGTCCATAATACGAAATGGAGCCATTTCGGAGAGTGCAACTCAAAGTGTGGTTTACGAAGAAATAAGTACAGAAATTGAAAGCAAGCGTTTAGAAACTTATAATCATGTAACAGTAATTTTCTGTTTGTTGAATCTAATAATAAAACACTTAGAGTTGAGTTTTATCTGTTTTTAGATTTTCTTTTTTAGTTATCCCTTTTAAATATATTTTACAGAAGCAATGGGAGTGGGGTGGGTATAGTCCTTGCTCAGGTTTAGTTTGAGAAGAACTGATCTTGAGCACCTTTTCAGCAAGGATGTGTGGGTGGGGTGAGTACCGTGACTAACATGTACTTTGCTTTATAAATAGGATTTGCTATGTAAACGTTTCCCACCTGTCTTTAGGAGCTACCTGAAATCCTTTCTGGAGCAAGACAGAGAATAAATTAGTAAAATATTAATATTTTTCTTTACTAAAATTTTATCTTAAAAAGAATTTTTTCTCTTAGACGTTTCAAGGGTTAAGAGTGAGGTCTCATCAGCTGGTTCTCCACCACTATGGTGAGGAAGATGGTTCAAAAATTGCTAAAGAGGGGCTTCCCTGGTGGCACAGTGGTTGGGGGTCCACCTGCCGATGCAGGGGACACGGGTTTGTGCCCCGGACCGGGAAGATCCCACATGCCGCAGAGTGGCTGGGCCTGTGAGCCATGGCCGCTGAGCCTGTGCATCCGGAGCCTGTGCTCCGCAACGGGAGAGTCCACGGCAGTGAGAGGCCCGCGTACAGCAAACAAAAAACAGAAAACAAAAAACAAAAAAACCAAAAAACTGCTAAAGAGAGTGTTTTAAGGTTCCTTTTTGCTCTGATATCCTGTCTTATATATGTGCATATGTATATATACACATAGATATGTATATTTTAATGCAGATAATGCATGTGTTTTTAGAATAATTTAAGAAATAAAAATGAATAAAACAATGAAACTGCTTATAATTCTACCACTTAGAGTTAACTACTGATAGTATTTTGGTATTTACTTGCCCAGACCTTTTCTTTGAACATATAAATATATATTTAAAAAATTAGAATAATATTTTACATTATTTAGTATCTTGCTTTGTCAATTTTGGGGGGAACATCTTGCCAAATTAATATACTTCTGTCATAATTTTTAATGGTTAAATTACTCTTCAAACTTCTAGAATCTGGACCGATGAAGTTATTTAAACTCTGCTGTTTACCATGAATGTACTTTCTGTTTCTATAGATTTGCCTTTTTTGAGCAATTCATATAACTGGGGTCATACAATATGTGGTCATTTGTGTCTGGCTTCTTTTCAGTAGGCATGTTCTTCAGATTTATTATATTGTAACATGTGTCAGTACTTTGTTTCTTCTTATTGCTGAATATTATTCCATTTTATGGATATATACATTTTAGTTAACCATTCCCCAGTTGATGGACATTTGGGTTGTTTCCACATTTTGCCTATTATGAATAACTGCTATAAACACTTGTGTGCAAGTCTTTGTGTAGACATATTTTATTTCTCTTGCGTAGATTCTTAGGAGCACCATTGCTTTATCATATAGTAAATTTATGTTAAAATTTTTAAGAAACTGCCAAATTGTATTCTAAAGTGACTGAACCATTTTACATTTCCACCAGCAGTGTAAAAGGGTTTTATACATTTCTACATCCTCCCCAACACTTGTTGTTTTCTGACTTTTTGATTATAGCCATTCCAGTGAGAGTAAAGTAATATGTCATTGTGATTTTATTTTGTGTTTTCCTAGTGAGCAATGATGTTGAACAGCTTTGCATGTGCTTTTTTTGGCTATTTGTGTACCTTCATTGGTGAAAAGCCTATTCAGATCTTTTGCCTGATTTTAAATTGAGTTATTCATCTTTTTGTTATCGAGCTTCAAGAGTTCTTTATATATTCTAAGGGCTTCCCTGGTGGCGCAGTGGTTAAGAATCCTCCTGCCAATGCAGGGGACACGGGTTCGAGCCCTGGTCCGGGAAGATCCCACATGCCATGAAGCAACTAAGCCCGTGTGCCACAACTACTGAAGCCCACGCACCTGGAGCCCATGCTCCGCAACAAGAGAAGCCACCTCAATGAGAAGCCTGCGCACTGCAATGAAGAGTAGCACCTGCTTGCCACAACTAGAGAAAAGCCTGTGCGCAGCAATGAAGACCCAACACAGCCAAAAATAAAAAATAAAATAAAATAAATTTATTTTAAAAAAAGAGTTCTTTATGTGTTCTGGATACAAATCCTTTATCAGATATATAATTTGCAAATATCTTTTCCCATTTGTTGGCTTGACTTCATTTTCTTAATAATGTCTTTTGAAGTGTAAAAGTTATTAATTTTTATGAAGTTTAATTCTTTTTCTTTATGGATTGTGCTTTTGGTTTCATATCTAAGAAATTTTGCCCAGCTTAAGGTCATGAAGATTTTTCTCCTAAGTGTTTTTCTAGAATTTTTATAATTTTAGTTCTTACATTTAGGTCCGAGCTCCATTTTAAGTTACTTTGTAGTATATGGTGTGAGGTAAGGGTCTAAATTTATCTTTTTGCCTGTGGAGATCAGTTGTTTTAGCACCATTTGTTGATAAGACTATCTTTTCGCCCATTGAATTGTCTTGACACCTTTGTTGAAAATTAATTGACTGTATATATATGACTTTATTTCTGTGGTCTCAATTCTGGTACACTAATCTATATGTTTATCCTTAATTCAGATTCTACACTGTTTTGATTACTGTAGCTTTATGGTAAGTTTTGAATTTAGAAGGTGCAAGTCCTCCCATTAGTTTTTCTTAAAGATTATTTTGGTTTTTCTGAGTCCTTTGCTTTTCCATATAATTTTTAGGGTCAGCTTGTCAATTTCTGCAAAAAAAAAAGCCTGCTGGGATTTTGGTAGGCAATATGTTGAATTTGTAGATCAATTTGGGGAAAGTGGCCATCTTAAAATATTAGTCTTCAAATACATGAATGTGAATGTGGAATGTCTTTTCATTTACTTAGGTCTTCAGTTTAGTTCAACAATAATTTACGCTTTTCAGTGTAGAAGTCTTTCCCATTTTTTGTTAAATTTAATCCTAAATCTATTTTATTTACTTGATGCTATTATAAGTGGAATTATTTTTTAAATTTCAGTTTTGGATTATTTATTGCTAGTGTTTAGAAATGTGATTGGTTTTTGCATATTGATCTTATAGTCTGTGACCTTGCTGAAATTGTTTGTTAGTTCTAGTGTTTTTGCTTCTTAATGGATTTCTTAGGATAATCTTACAGGATCATGTTCTTTGCCATTAAAGACAGTTTTACTTCTTCCCTTCCAGTATATGTGCCTTTTATTTCTTTTCCTTTTTTTTTTTTTCCTGATTGCACTGTCTAGAACCTCCAATACAGTCTTGAATAGAAGTATTACTCGCAGACATCTTTGTTTTGTTCCCAGTCTTAGGGGAAGCTTTCAGTGTTTCACCATTAAGTTTGATGCTACTTTTTGCAGTTTTTCATAGAGGCCCTTTATCAGATTGATGAAATTTCCTTGTATTCCTAGTTTGTTGAGAGTTATTTTTTATTTTTTTAAATCATGAATGGGTGTTGGATTTTGTCAAATACTTTTTCTGTATCTGTTGAGATGATCATATAGTTTTCATCCTTTGTTTTAGTAAAATGGTATATTACATCACTTGAGTTTCAGACATTATACCAATTTTCTGTTTTGGGGATAAATCCCAGTTAATCATGTAATTTAATTCTTTCAAGATGTTGCTGGATTTGGTTTGCTAATGTTTTGTTGAGGATTTTTTGTATCTCTGTTCATGAAAGATATTGGTCTGTACTCTTCCTTTCTTGAGATGTCTGCCATATTTTGGTATTAGGTAATGCTGGACTCAGAATGATTTGGAGAAATGTTTCCTCCTCCTCTTATGTGAGGCTTGGTATTATTTCTTCCTTAAAGTTTGGTAGAATCTGGACTTGGACTTTCTCTATGATTAGATTTTTAAAATTATTAATTCAATGTTATTATCTGTTATAGGTCTATTCAGATTTTCTCTTTCTTTTTGAGTTAGTTTTAGTAATTACTGTCTTTTTAGGAATTTGTCCTAAATTTGTCCTGATTTGTTAGCATAAAGTTGTTCATGGTATTCATTATAATCCTTCTAGGTTGGTAGTGCCATTCCCTTTTTTATTCTTTGCTTATACTTTGAGTTTCTTCTCTTTTTTTCTTTGTCTAGCTAACCAAAGGTTTATCAAGTTTATTCATCTATTTAAAGAATCAAATTTTGGTTTCATTGATTCTCTGTTGTTTTATTTTAGTCTTATTTTAAAAAAATTACATATGCATGTTATTTAAAGACTAATTGTTCTAAAAGGATTACTTACTGCTGTTAGGAAAAATAGCAGTACTTATTACCTTGAGACAAATAACTTTCTTTATCCCTAGAAAGAATCCTTTTCAACTCTCTGAGATGTTTTTTTAAATCCATACCTCTTCAAAAATTTTTTTTATATTGCTATTTGATTTTTCATGTTTAGCCATTATCTACTGACTTTCCACTATAGAAGTTCATAATTTAGTTTTCATTCATACTTGCCTCCCTTTTCTATTCTCTCTTCATTTCGTGATATATAATCTTGGTTAGATTAATCAGTGTTTACATTATCGTATAATTTTCAAAACTTCCTAGTTGAGTCATATAGTAGTATTCAGTGACAATGTTTTCTCTCGTATACATTTTGTTTTTCTTGGATTTAATTAATAGTTGTCTCATTTGTTGTTTACTTGGTTTAATTTCCATGAACTTATGAATTCAACTTCATACTCCCACCAAGTTTTATAAATCTCTCAATATGTTCTCATAGTTGATGTGTTCTGTTATTTTCTCTTCATCTTAAAGAAATTACTCCTGGAGGCATTGGCCAGTACAGTTGGAACAGATTGCCCTTTAAGTGATTTGCTGCACAAATTTCACTGGGTGCTTCCTTTCATCACTATCTTAGACATCCCTTTGCTGTTTTCTTATCTTGAATACCCTACTTCTGGGATCCCATTTCTTTCTCTTTCTCAGTGTGGGTCCTTATTTTGGTGAAACAAGTCTTCCAGTAGCCCCTTATAAATGTTTTGATGTCTTGTAGATCTGAAATAGTCTTTCTCATACTCTTGTCTTTTTTTTTTTTTTTTTGAAAGTTTTAGACATTACCAAACTTCTAAAAACTTTTCTGCCAGTTTACACTCTGATCATAGGTATGAAAGCGTGCATGTTTCATCTTCCCTTCCCCATACTCTTGTCTTTGAATGGTACTTGTTGAGCATAAAATTCTAAATTGGAAATTATTTTCTTTTGGAAAGTTTTTAGGCATCTGGGAGATTTTTGTTTTTACATTTATTTATTTAGTTTTTCATTTCTTAGTTTGTGTTTTTGATTTCCAAGAGCTCTTTTTTTGTTCTATGAATATTTCCTTTTTAATTACATCCAGTTTTTGTTTTATGGATTTTTTTATCCTCTCCTATTTTTCTGAGGATTTTAATGTTAAGGGTTTTTTCTTAATCTTTTTTTAAAGTTATCTTTTCCCTGCATCATCTTTGACTTCTTCCCTGCCCCTTGTAGTCTCTGTCTTTCTTATCAGATGTTGCTTAACTTCTGGTGATCCTTGGCTCTCTGTTCATATTTAAAAGTAGAGGCCTAAAAAGATGATTGGAAGCTCAGTGTATGAGGCATTCTCTGTAGGGTGATCTGGTTGAGCTGTTTTGCTGGAGAACCTGTAACATTGGCATCTTTAGGTCTTTTTCACCTTGCTGGTTAGATTCTCCAGGGAAGATCCTTGTAGTCTCTGCTTTGGCTGACATTGTTCTGTTAGACAATAAGTATTAGAAGACCAGGGATATAATTTATTATGTAACTTTTTACTTGAGTCTCTTGCTTTTACTTACCGATTTGTATCTCATGTCTCCAATCCAGAGACATTCTGTTTATCCTCACCAGGGGATAAACCCCTAGTGTTCTGCCAGAGTGGGGAAGAAATCAATACCCAGTTGTGTGGTGTATAGGGTAGAGGATCTGAGGATCTTATTATTTCTTTGGCAGACTTTCAACCAATTCTCCTGTTTTCTGCTCTGCTTTTACCCCCATTTTAAAAGGTGTTGCCAGTGAACTGAGCTTTTTGGGACTCTGGTGTAAATCAGGCCGCTTTTCTTACTGTTGGCTTTGAATTCAGCTCTCTTATATAAATCACTTACCACTTATCCACCTGCGTTCCAACTTCCAGTATTTTATTGCTATTGTCTCATCTCTGGTACTAATTCTTCTTGTGAGTTTATATCTCTAAATTCTCTTTGCTGTTAAATTAGTTAAAATTTTAATTTTACTTTTGGGGAGAGAGTAGAACTTTACTCTGCCATTTAAAAGCATGAGTCTGTATTCTCTTATACTTTCTCTTTTTGTAATATGTGTTATATTTGCAATAAGTAAAATATATTATTTAAAAAGGTTAAAAGGAAAGAACTCAGTCTTCTCCAAAACTTGCCAGCTTGTGATAGGATCAGATAACCTTTATTGCCTATCTTGAACAATATGGTGGTTTCCCAGTGGACAGTGGTTTGTTTCTAGTCATATACTGCTTTGCATTTCTATCTAGCTTTTGCAATCAATATCTTTTACTGGAATGTAAGTTTCTTTAGGGTAAGGACCGTAACATGTTCCCTGTTTTTTTTGAAAAATAAGTTATCAGAAATACGGGAAATGCTGGAAATTCACTTAATAATAATTATATTTTATTTTGATCTCATAGGTTGAAGAATGCCTCATCTGATATAAAACAAATGGTTAAAAATCAAACAGACTTGGATATTACTGCTGATCTCAGAAAGAAACTCCATCGGGCTAAGAAAGAAAAATTAGAAATAACAACTAAGCACAATGCAGAGGTAGAATTTATTTTCTTCTCAAATAACGTTAAAAGTAGAGTTTGATTATTTCAGATTCATTTCATATTAGGAACTACTTGTTTTAACATTTATCACTGTAACATTCTTGTGCTTAAAAAGGACATTAAGAAAACAGATGGTGTTTTTAAATACAGTGAAATTGTATAGGAGTGTTAAAGTAGAAATTTAATGAAGTATTTATTGGTATGTTGCCTTAATTTTATTTTAATTAATGAATTATATTTGCTCAAAAGTGTTAATTGATGAATGCATTTGGTGACTAAGGGATTTGTAAATTAGGCATTTTGGAAATCTTAATGTAGTTTCCTTATGGTCTCAGTCATAGAACAGTCTCTTAAACAATTAGATTTGAGTATGGAATTTTTGATCAGTGTAATTCATGAATGATCTTAGTTTGTTTTTCAATTGTATCATTATATCTTTTATTAGTATGTCTGTGTATATATATATAAATATCTGTATTTCATATGTATATGCGTATATTCCAAGGACAGAAGTTATTTTTTACTCTAGGATAATTCATGAATTATATGTTTATGTCTCTTCTGTCTGTTATCTTTCTTCTCTGTTTTCTTCTTTTTCTTTATTTAAATCTTACTCATTCTTAAAGCTCAGCTTAGGCAGCCCGATGTAGTGGAAAGAATATCGAGTTACAGAGACCTGGACTCATTCTTGGCCCTTCCATTTACAAGATATGTGACCTTGGGCGAGTTAATTATCCTGTACATCTTTGGTTTCTCATTGTGAAATGCTGGTCCCAAAGGGTTGTTGAGATAATTAAATGAAATAGAATTTGAGAAGTGTCAGTGCACTGTAATAGTAGTTGTAATTTATTGACAGTTAAGCATAAACAGTGTATTTTCCTTCCCTTTTTGCTAAATTCCGATGCTGTTCTGTCAGGAAACCTTTTAAAGCCTTGCTAGGTGAAAATGATTACTCCTTTCTTTCCTCTCCCATAGCATGTTGCTGTTACAGATATTTTAGAGCTAAAACATTTATTTCACGCTTACCTGCGCTTCTTTAGTCCTTAAGCTTCGTGAGAGCTGAAAGTAGTGACCATGCTTTGTCCCTGTACCTGTCGAGTTGCTTATTGGCACGTAGTAGGCCCTCAGTAGCTGTGTGTTGAATAAACGTTCGGAAAAATGATTTTTTTCAGGTTCTCTAAGGAACAGTGGTTTATGATTAAAATAACAAGCGATCAATCTATGACTGTTTTATTTGTATTTTTAAGGGCAATTGAGGTAATTTTAAAGTGATAATTGAAGTAGTAATTGCTTTTATTTATGTTGTACTATTACATACTGAATATAAAGTAGTATTTGTTAAATGGGTGCTAATAGTTCATAATCTCCAAAACTTATTTTATAAACCAAATGTACATTTTACTTGAGAATATTAGTGTCATGATAATCATTCATCCATTAAATATATTCTTTCACATATATTTATAGTTATCACATTTCTCTTACCAGAACATACATTTATTATCTTTTATTTGATCAAAATATTTTGAATTATGTGTTCACATTAAAGAGATTGGAAATTATCTCACGGAAGAAAGAGAATTTTCTCAAAATAGGTAGTTATAATTGGTTCAACTCCGGGTTTGTATTACTGTTCAGTTTTACTGTTTCAATTATTTGTTTAGCTGATTTTACGCATATTATATAGTAATATTTTTAGCCAGGTAATTTCTAAATATGTCCATTATAAAGCAAGGCAGAGAGGAATGAAACTATCTAAAAACTAAGGCCAGATATTTGCCTTATCAGGTACTCCTAATGCTAACACACTGGGTGATTGGCACAAAATTTCCTTAAAATCTAAGTGTCCCATCAATAGATGAATGGATAAAGAAAATGTTTCAAATATATATATATATATTATTTTTAAAAAAAATTTATTTCTTTATTTTTGGCCGCGTTAGGTCTTTGTTGCTGTGTGCGGGCTTTCTCTAGTTGCAGCGAGCAGGGGCTACTCTTCGTTGTGGTGCGTGGGCTTCTCATTGCATTGGCTGCTCTTGTTGCGGAGCACGGGCTCTAGGCATGCGGGCTTCAGTAGTTGTGGCACGCAGGCTCAGTAGTTGTGGCTCGTGGGCTCTAGAGTGCAGGCTCAGTAGTTGTGGCACACAGGCTTAGTTGCTCTGCAACAGGTGGGATCTTCCCGGACCAGGACTCGAACCTGTGTCCCCCTCATTGGCAAGCAGATTCTTAACCACTGCACCACCAGGGAAGTCCGTGTGTGTGTGTGTGTGTGTGTGTGTGTGTGTGTGTGTGTGTATAAAATGGAATATTATTCACAAAAAAAAAAGAGTGACATCTTGCCATTTGTGACAATATAGATGGACCTTGGGGCCATTATGGAAAGTGAAATAAGTCAGACAGAGAAAAACAAATACTGGAGGGACCTTCATGATGGCGGAGGAGTAAGATGTGGAGATCACCTTCCTTCCCACGAATACATCAGAAATACATCTACATGTGGAACAACTCCTACAGAACACTTACTGAACGCTGGCAGGAGACCTCAGACTTGCCAAAAGGCAAGAAACTCCCCACGTACCTGGGCAGGGCAAAAGAAAAAAGGAAACACAGAGACAGAAGAATAGAGACAGGACCTGTCACTCTGTGAGGGAGCCGTGAAGGAGGAAAAGTTTCCACACCTAGGAAGCCCCTTCACTGGTGGAGACGGGGGGTGGGTGGGGGGGAGCTTCGGAGCCGCGGAGGAGAGCGCAGCCACGGGGGCGCGGAGGGCAGAGCGGGGAGATTCCCGCACGGAGGATCGGGGCCGACCGGCACTCACCAGCCCGAGAGGCTTGTCTGCTCACCCGCCGGGACGGGTATGGGCTGGGAGATGAGGCTCCGGCTTCAGAGGTCATATCCCGGGGAGAGGACTGGGGTTGGCTGTGTGAACAACGCCTGAAGGGGGCTAGTGCATCACAGCTATCCGTGAGGGAGTCTGGGGAAAATGTCTAGACCTGCCTAAGAGGCAAGCGACCATTGTTTTGGGGTTCATGAGGAGAGGGGATCCAGAGCACTGCCTAAACGACCTCCAGAGATGGGTGCGAGCTGTGGCTATCAGCGCGGACACCAGAGGTGGATCTGAAATGCTAAGACTGCTGCTGCAGCCACCAAGAAGCCTGTGTGCAAGCACAGGTCACTATCCACACCTCCCCTCCCGGGAGCCTATGCAACCCGCCACTACCAGGGTCCCGTGATCCAGGAACAACTTCCCTGGGAGAACACACATCGTGCCTCAAGCTGTTAAAATGTCATGCTGGCCTCTGCTGCCGCAGGCTCACCCTACATTCTGTACCCCTCCTTCCCTCCGGCCTGAGTGAGCCAGAGCCCCCGAATCAGCTGCTTCTTTAGCCCCGTCCTGCCTGGGCGGGGAACAGATGCCCTCAGGTGACCTACACGCAGAGGCGGGGCCAAATCCAAAGCTGAGCCCCAGGAGCTGTGCGAACAGAGAAGAGAAAGGGAAATCTCTCCCAGCAGCCTCAGGAGCAGTGGATTAAATCTCCACAGTCAACCTGATTTACCCTGCATCGGTGGAATACCTGAATAGACAATGAATCATCCCAAAATTAGGGCAGTGGACTTTGGGAGCAACTGTAGACTTGGGGTTTGCTTTCTGCATCTAATTTGTTTCTGGTTTTATGTTTATTTTAGTTTAGTATTTAGAGCCTATTATCACTGGTAAATTTGTTTATTAATTTGGTTGCTGTCTTCCTTTTTTAAAAAAAAATATATTTTCTTTTTCTGTTTTTGTGAGTGTGTATGTGTATGCTTCTCTGTGTGATTTTGTCTGTATGGCTTTGCTTTTATCATTTGCCCTAGGGTTCTGTCTTTCCATTTTTTTTTGGATAGTTTTTAGGGCTTGTTATCATTGGTGGATTTGTTTTTTGGTTTGGTTGTTCTCTTCTTTCTTTTTTTAATTACTTTTTTATTTTTAATAATTTATCTTTTATTTTAATTATTTTATTTTATTATTTTCTTTCTTTCTGTCTTTCTTTTTCCTCCCTTTTCTTCTGAGCTGCGTGGCTGACAGGGTCTTGGTGCTCCGTCTGGGTGTCAATCCTGAACCTCTGAGGTGGGAGAGCCGAATTCAGGACATTGGACCACCAGAAACCTCCCAGCCCCATGTAAAATCAAATGGCAAGAGCTCTCATAGAGATCCCCATCTCGATGCTAAGACCCAGCTCCACTCAACAACCAGCAAGCTACAGTGCTGGACACCCTGTGCCAAACAACTAGCAAGACAGGAACACAACCCCACCCATTAGCAGAGAGGCTGCCTAAAATCATAATCAGTTCACAGACACCCCAAAACACACCACTGGACGTGGTCCAGCCCACCAGAAAGAAAAGATCCATCCCCACCCACCAAAACACAGGCACCAGTCCCCTCTGGTGTAGGAAGCCTACACAATCCATTGAACCAACCTTACCCACTGGGGGCAGACACCAAAAACAATGGGAACTACAAACCTATAGCGTGCAAAAGGAGACCCCAAGCACAGTAAGTTAAGCAAAATGAGAAGACAGAGAAATACCCAGCAGATGAAGGAGCAAAGTAAAAACCCACCAGAGCAGACAAATGAAGAGGAAATAGGCAGTCTACCTGAAAAAGAATTCAGAGTAATGATAGTAAAGATGATCCAAAATCTTGGAAATAGAATGGAGAAAATACAAGAAATGTTTAACAAGGACCTAGAAGAACTAAAGGGCAAACAAACAACGATGAAAAACACAATAAATGAAATTAAAAGTTCTCTAGAAGGAATCAACAGCAGAATAACTGAGGCAGAAGAACGGATAAATGACCTGGAAGATAAAATGGTGGAAATAACTACTGCAGAGCAGAATAAAGAAAAAAGAATGGAAAGAACTGAGGACAGTCTCAGAGACCTCTGGGACAACATTAAACACACCAACATTTGAATCATAGGGGTCCCAGAAGAAGAAGAGAAAAAGAAA